GATCTCCTTTTTCTTCCCCGGGTTCTGATCTCTTTTTTCCTCCCCGGGTTCTGATTTCCTTTTTCTTCCCCGGGTTCTGCTCTCTTTTTCTTCCCCGGGTTCTGATCTCTTTTTCCTCCCCGGGTTCTGATTTCCTTTTTCCTCCCCTGGTTCTGATCTCCTTTTTCCTCCCTGGCTTCTGATCTCCTTTCTCCCCTGGTTCTGATCTCCTTTTTCCTCCCCTGGTTATGATCTCCTTTTTCCTCCCCTGGTTATGATCTCCTTTTTCCTCCCCGGGTTGTGATCTCCTTTTTCCTCCCCGGGTTCTGATCTCCTTTTTCCTCCCCGGGTTCTGTTCTCTCTTTTTTGCTTCAGTGCCATACTTGTATTTGCGTCCTGTTGTTTTCCAGTAATATAGAAATTCCTGTGTGACTTTCCTGCTAACCCAGGACTCTGGAATCTGATAGAGGAGAGAGGTGTGGAGGAGAGGAGGGGGGAGACAGGTTTAGACAGAGAGGTGAATTCAGTAATAAAGAGGAGTGGCACTGGCAAGAACAAGGAATTGGGAGAGGATTACTGTCGTGAATGGCATTCGGAAGAGTTAAACATTATATTCCAAATATTTCTGCAAATTCAGACACAGAGAGTTTATATTTTATTCCTGGAACAAGTCCTGATCTACACCCCAAAAAATACCCAGCTCCCCCTCAGGACAGCCGGCTCCCTCTAGGACAGCCAGTGCACCTAGAATCCCCAGCTGTGCCAGGATCCAGAGCCCACCCATCTGCTTCAGGATCCTAATCTGCAATTCCTTCAGAATCCGCAGCTCTCCAGGACTTGAAGGTGAGAAAGTGACAGGCCAAAGAAAGATGTGTGTGTATAGCTGTGTGATATAATGTGTCCTGTGATATATGTGTGTATAGCTGTGTGATATAATGTGTCCTGTGATATATGTGTGTATAGCTGTATAATATAATGTGTCCTGTGATATATGTGTGTATAGCTGTATGATATATTGTATCATGTGATATATGTGTGTATAGCTGTGTGATATATTGTGTCCTGTGATATATGTGTGTATAGCTGTGTGATATATTGTGTCCTGTGATATATGTGTGTATAGCTGTATAATATAATGTGCCCTGTGATATATGTGTGTATAGCTGTGTGATATATTGTGTCCTGTGATATATGTGTGTATAGCTGTATAATATAATGTATCCTGTGATATATGTGTGTATAGCTGTGTGATATAATGTGTCCTGTGATATATGTGTGTATAGCTGTGTGATATAATGTATCCTGTGATATATGTGTGTATAGCTGTATAATATAATGTATCCTGTGATATATGTGTGTATAGCTGTGTGATATAATGTGTCCTGTGATATATGTGTGTATAGCTGTGTGATATAATGTGTCCTGTGATATATGTTTGTATAGCTGTGTGATATAATGTGTCCTGTGATATATGTGTGTATAGCTGTATAATATAATGTGTCCTGTAATATATGTGTGTATAGCTGTGTGATATAATGTGTCCTGTGATATATGTGTGTATAGCTGTATAATATAATGTGTCCTGTGATATATGTGTGTATAGCTGTATAATATAATGTGTCCTGTGATATATGTGTGTATAGCTGTATAATATAATGTGTCCTGTGATATATGTGTGTATAGCTGTGTGATATAATGTATCCTGTGATATATGTGTGTATAGCTGTATAATATAATGTGTCCTGTGATATATGTGTGAATAGCTGTATAATATAATGTATCCTGTGATATATGTGTGTAAACCTGTGTGATATAATGTATCCTGTGATATATGTGTGTATAGCTGTGTGATATAATGTATCCTGTGATATATGTGTGTATAGCTGTATAATATAATGTGTCCTGTAATATATGTGTGTATAGCTGTATAATATAATGTGTCCTGTGATATATGTGTGTATAGCTGTGTGATATAATGTGTCCTGTGATATGTGTGTATAGCTGTGTGATATAATGTGTCCTGTGACATATGTGTGTATAGCTGTATAATATAATGTGTCCTGTGACATATGTGTGTATAGCTGTATAATATAATGTGTCCTGTGATATATGTGTGTATAGCTGTGATATAATGTGTCCTGTAATATATGTGTGTATAGCTGTATAATATAATGTGTCCTGTGATATATGTGTGTATAGCTGTGTGATATAATGTGTCCTGTGATATATGTGTGTATAGCTGTGTGATATAGTAGTGATACTTAATGATATATATGTGTGTATGGCTGTATGTATAATGTGTCCTGTGATATATGTGTGTATAGCTGTGTGATATAATGTGTCCTGTGATATATGTGTGTATAGCTGTGTATAATATAATGTGTCCTGTATGATATATGTTATTGCATAATATAATGTGCTTACATGATATATGTAGTGGCCCTTAGCTGTGTGATATAATGTATCCTGTGATATATGTGTGTATAGCTGTGTGATATAATGTGTCCTGTGATATATGTGTGTATAGCTGTATAATATAATGTGTCCTGTGATATATGTGTGCATAATATAATGTGCCCTGTGATATATGTGTGTATAGCTGTGTGATATAATGTATCCTGTGATATATGTGTGTATAGCTGTGTGATATAATGTGTCCTGTGATATATGTGTGTATAGCTGTATAATATAATGTGTCCTGTGATATATGTGTGCATAATATAATGTGACCTGTGATATATGTGTGTATAGCTGTGTGATATAATGTGTCCTGTGATATATGTGTGTATACCTGTATAACATAATGTATCCTGTGATATATGTGTGTATAGCTGTGTGATATAAAGTGTCCTGTAATATATGTGTGTATAGCTGTGTGATATAATGTATCCTGTGATATATGTGTGTATAGCTGTGTGATATAATGTGTCCTGTGATATATGTGTGTATAGCTGTATAATATAATGTGTCCTGTGATATATGTGTGTATAGCTGTATGATATATTGTATCATGTGATATATGTGTGTATAGCTGTGTGATATATTGTGTCCTGTGATATATGTGTGTATAGCTGTGTGATATATTGTGTCCTGTGATATATGTGTGTATAGCTGTATAATATAATGTGCCCTGTGATATATGTGTGTATAGCTGTGTGATATAATGTGTCCTGTAATATATGTGTGTATAGCTGTGTGATATAATGTGTCCTGTGATATATGTTTGTATAGCTGTGTGATATAATGTGATCTGTGATATATGTTTGTATAGCTGTGTGATATAATGTGTCCTGTGATATATGTGTGTATAGCTGTATAATATAATGTGTCCTGTGAAATATGTGTGTATAGCTGTGTGATATAATGTGTCCTGTGACATATGTGTGTATAGCTGTATAATATAATGTGTCCTGTGATATATGTGTGTATAGCTGTGTGATATAATGTGTCCTGTGATATATGTGTGTATAGCTGTATAATATAATGTGTCCTGTGATATATGTGTGTATAGCTGTGTGATATAATGTGTCCTGTGATATATGTGTGTATAGCTGTATAATATAATGTGTCCTGTGATATATGTGTGAATAGCTGTATAATATAATGTATCCTGTGATATATGTGTGTAAACCTGTGTGATATAATGTATCCTGTGATATATGTGTGTATAGCTGTATAATATAATGTGTCCTGTAATATATGTGTGTATAGCTGTATAATATAATGTGTCCTGTGATATATGTGTGTATAGCTGTGTGATATAATGTGTCCTGTGATATATGTGTGTATAGCTGTGTGATATAATGTGTCCTGTGACATATGTGTGTATAGCTGTATAATATAATGTGTCCTGTGACATATGTGTGTATAGCTGTATAATATAATGTGTCCTGTGATATATGTGTGTATAGCTGTATAATATAATGTGTCCTGTGACATATGTGTGTATAGCTGTGTGATATAATGTGTCCTGTAATATATGTGTGTATAGCTGTATAATATAATGTGTCCTGTGATATATGTGTGTATAGCTGTGTGATATAATGTGTCCTGTGATATATGTGTGTATAGCTGTGTGATATAATGTGTCCTGTGATATATGTGTGTATAGCTGTGTGATATAATGTATCCTGTGATATATGTGTGTATAGCTGTGTGATATAATGTGTCCTGTGATATATGTGTGTATAGCTGTATAATATAATGTGTCCTGTGATATATGTGTGCATAATATAATGTGCCCTGTGATATATGTGTGTATAGCTGTGTGATATAATGTATCCTGTGATATATGTGTGTATAGCTGTGTGATATAATGTGTCCTGTGATATATGTGTGTATAGCTGTGTGATATAATGTGTCCTGTGATATATGTGTGTATAGCTGTGTGATATAATGTGTCCTGTGATATATGTGTGTATAGCTGTGTGATATAATGTGTCCTGTGATATATGTGTGTATAGCTGTGTGATATAATGTGTCCTGTGATATATGTGTGTATAGCTGTATAATATAATGTGTCCTGTGAAATATGTGTGTATAGCTGTATAATATAATGTGTCCTGTGATATATGTGTGTATAGCTGTATAATATAATGTGTCCTGTGACATATGTGTGTATAG